AATAAAAATGATTGCATCCGTTATCCATGATATTAGACGTAATTTTGCTTTATATATGATCTGGTTAAAAGGTAAATTGAGCTTAGAGTAATGTTCTTTCCGTTGCAGAGGCAACACTGAAGCATGAACTAATTTGAGAAAAAAAAAAATAATACTAAAGTTTGTGAGGCCTGTTTTTTTCGTTTCTTTTTGTTATTAATGAAGAGCTAACTTGGTTGAACCAAAAAGGTAATCGAAGGAATAAGCGGTCTTGGTGAGTTAGTTCTATCATATTTTATGCCAAATTACATGAAAATTAAAGTTCAAAATCAAGCTCAAAACCTGATTTTCTACATTTTTATGCTTATAAGCAAGTTGCTTTCTCTGAAACATTAGTTAGATTCAAAAAGTTTAGTGAGCTAATTATGTAAAAGCACCCAACTCTTCATAAGCTAACAAAGTGTGTGATTGCCACATTTAATATCTTCCCATATTTTAACAACCCTTCTTATGGATAATGCACTTATAAACCAAGATGGGAAGGTGGTCAATATGATGATGATGAAATGAAAGCAAGTAGCGAGAAGCATTACATCTAGCCATGGAATTGGGAGCAAATTACATTGCTATTGAACTGAAGATTGGTCACCCAAAAGCTATCCTCTATGGCGATGTTGTCATAGTCATTTCTTGAATTCTTAAATTCAATTTGCTTTGTCGGGAACATGCTAATAAAATTCCATTTTACCTCCTGAAGGTTGCTCATGACTTCTTCAATTCGCTTCCAGGGGAGAGGCCTGAAAATGTCAAGACTATAGTTTCTTCACACAACTATGAATGAACTCTATCTGCTGAGGAATTAGGTGATTTTGTTGTGAGAATACAGGCTAATGGAGCTAACATAGTGAAGATCACAACAACTGCCTTAGAAATCATAGATAATGCTCAAATATTTCAACTCCCAAGTAAGTAATTTACTATTTATACTTTTTGACTTTGTTCTTTACAAATTTTTAAGTTTTCTTTCACTTTTATTAGATTTTACTGTGTGCTACCAGAAATACTGACATATAGCAATAACCTTCGAGTCTTGGACAATGCAAGATAAATGTATGAGCTCCCATTTGCAATTTCATTGATAATGCTTCCTGTTTTATTTCTATTTTAGGGAAACACCAAAACTGTTTCTTAGTTTGCGAGTATCTCTTTTCATTGTTTGTCCTAGTAGTTTGTGTTCTTACAGTCTTTCCTACATTGAGAATGACATGTAAGCTGAATCTGTAGGTCCCAATGATAGGACTTGTTATGGGCGAGAGAGAGGGGTTTGATGTCAAGGATCCTTGTTGCAAAATTTGGGGGATTTTTCACTTTTGGAGTTTGGCTCACTTGAGGCGGCAGTTTTATCAGCCCTGGGCAGCCAACCGTGAAGGAATTGTTGGATTTATACAATATGAGGCATACTGGACTTGATACCAAAGTACATGGTGTTATTGGAAATCCTATCAGTCACAGCAAAAGTTCTCACCTTTACAAAACAGCATTTAGATCCACCGGTTTTAATGGAATATATCCACCTTTATTGGCTGATGATGTCTCAAAATTTATCACCACTTATTCATCCCCTGATTTTGCTGGAATAGTGAAAAATCTTATTTGCAACATGTTTTTGACAGGTCATTTATGTGTATGATACATAAAAGAATAGAACAGGCGAATTTTAACTGAAATTTATTTAGGTAAGAGTTCTTAAGTTCCTTGCTTGGAAGGGTCTGAACTTAGTCAGGAAGGGAAAAGAAATGATGAGAGAAATGCATATAAGCTGTTCATGCATCACCATTTATTTGATATGCCAAGTGAAAAGTCATATAAATCTAGTTTATGATGTTATTTTTTCATTAAAATCGTACTTCATTCTTTTCTTTCAAATTTTATTACTGAATATAAAATTATCAAGTCTTTGCTGCATATGCACGTAACATTGTTTCTATAATGATACCAAACCCCATCATATATCCCATTCAAGTTATTCCATCAATGCTAAAATATTGCTTCGTTAGCTTGTAGAGGTCAGAGTTACTTCCAAACTTTACAAAAATCACAATGACTAACCGACTCAGACTAAAGGGATTCGAAATGTTTGTGACGGTGACTACATTACAACATATTCCTTTGCACAGGTTCATTGTTGACAAGGAGGTTATTTTGGGGGTAGAGGATTTTCTTGATGATGATAATAACAGGCCATACACTTATCAGGAGAAAAAGTGAAAGAAACAGCATGAACATTCGTCATTTAAACACCGGACTGTAGCATACATGGAGCCATTTACACCTGATGTCTTCATCTCAAGGCGCTTTGTTTTTGCTTTGCTAATTCATTAAGCAGGTTGCGGTTGCTGGCACAAACTCGAAAGATATTGAAGTAATACTTAGATCCAGATCAGACATTCCAGCTTGCTTGACAATTGGGCAGATATTAGCTGAGAGAGCAAGAGAAGCCAATGTATATACCGCTTATTATACTTCCGGAGAGAGGGACAAATTTAAAGGAAAAATCAGAACAATTTAGTCCCTCATTGATAATGGAATTGATACTAAAATTTATCTTGACTGATTAAGTTGAATTCATTTTTGATAGTATTACTCCTTTTTTAAACTTTTGGATGTTGTTTTATGTTGTTTTTGTTTCTGAATATTATTGAATCACTGCTATATTATGTGTATGAAAATAATGTGATTGTTGTACTTCAATGTTTTTTTTTTTCTGTTTATTATCATATTATTTTAATCTTATATCAACAATTTTAAGTATGTTCTCTATTTTTTTATTATTATCATTTTATTTTATATCACGAAATTTAATAACATTGAATTTGATTGTTAGCTAGATTGATCATACAATTATTTTTAAAAAATAATATTTAATTAATTTATGATTTAAATTTCAATATTTTTTATTTTTTAACTTTAATATCAGTACATACAATTATTTCTTTTATTTTTTTCTCAAATTGTGATTTAAAAAAAAAATTGTATTGAAAGGAGATTTACCCAATAACATATCTATATTTTAAGCAACCGATTCAATTAAAATGACTTGGTAAAAACAAATAGTAAAAAAACCTCTGGCCTGGTTTGGGTTAGAAAGTGCAATCCCACAATCCTTACTGCTTACTATTACAACCCAAAACTCAAAAAAAAAAAAAAAAGTCATTGTGGTAAATTTAATTTCAAAGGAAGGGTAGTCTGGTAAAATAAAAAATAATGATAAGAATTCGCTAACTTTTTTTCCTTTTCTTCGAACCCCTTACTTTGAAATCTGAACACAGGTTGGCCGTATGGTTATATTTTATTTTAAGAAATTTCTTTTTCCTCCTTCACCTGAAATTTAACTTTAATATCAGTACATACAATTATTTCTTTTATTTTTTTCTCAAATTGTGATTTAAAAAAAAAAATTGTATTGAAAGGAGATTTACCCAATAACATATCTATATTTTAAGCAACCGATTCAATTAAAATGACTTGGTAAAAACAAATAGTAAAAAAACCTCTGGCCTGGTTTGGGTTAGAAAGTGCAATCCCACAATCCTTACTGCTTACTATTACAACCCAAAACTCAAAAAAAAAAAAAAAGTCATTGTGGTAAATTTAATTTCAAAGGAAGGGTAGTCTGGTAAAATAAAATAATGATAAGAATTCGCGAACCTTTTTTCCTTTTCTTCGAACCCCTTACTTTGAAATCTGAACACAGGTTGGCCGTATGGTTATATTTTATTTTAAGAAATTTCTTTTTCCTCCTTCACCTGAAATTTAACTTTAATATCAGTACATACAATTATTTCTTTTATTTTTTTCTCAAATTGTGATTTAAAAAAAAAATTGTATTGAAAGGAGATTTACCCAATAACATATCTATATTTTAAGCAACCGATTCAATTAAAATGACTTGGTAAAACAAATAGTAAAAAAAACCTCTGGCCTGGTTTGGGTTAGAAAGTGCAATCCACAATCCTTACTGCTTACTATTACAACCCAAAAACTCAAAAAAAAAAAAAAAAAGTCATTGTGGTAAATTTAATTTCAAAGGAAGGGTAGTCTGGTAAAATAAAAAATAATGATAAGAATTCGCTAACTTTTTTTCCTTTTCTTCGAACCCCTACTTTGAAATCTGAACACAGGTTGGCCGTATGGTTATATTTTATTTTAAGAAATTTCTTTTTCCTCCTTCACCTGAAATTTAACTTTAATATCAGTACATACAATTATTTCTTTTATTTTTTTCTCAAATTGTGATTTAAAAAAAAAAATTGTATTGAAAGGAGATTTACCCAATAACATATCTATATTTTAAGCAACCGATTCAATTAAAATGACTTGGTAAAAACAAATAGTAAAAAAACCTCTGGCCTGGTTTGGGTTAGAAAGTGCAATCCCACAATCCTTACTGCTTACTATTACAACCCAAAACTCAAAAAAAAAAAAAAAAGTCATTGTGGTAAATTTAATTTCAAAGGAAGGGTAGTCTGGTAAAATAAAAAATAATGATAAGAATTCGCGAACCTTTTTTCCTTTTCTTCGAACCCCTTACTTTGAAATCTGAACACAGGTTGGCCGGTATGGTTTATATTTTATTTAAGAAATTTTCTTTTTCCTCCTTCACCTGAAATTTAACTTTAATATCAGTACATACAATTATTTCTTTTATTTTTTTCTCAAATTGTGATTTAAAAAAAAAATTGTATTGAAAGGAGATTTACCCAATAACATATCTATATTTTAAGCAACCGATTCAATTAAAATGACTTGGTAAAAACAAATAGTAAAAAAACCTCTGGCCTGGTTTGGGTTAGAAAGTGCAATCCCACAATCCTTACTGCTTACTATTACAACCCAAAACTCAAAAAAAAAAAAAAAGTCATTGTGGTAAATTTAATTTCAAAGGAAGGGTAGTCTGGTAAAATAAAAAATAATGATAAGAATTCGCTAACTTTTTTTCCTTTTCTTCGAACCCCTTACTTTGAAATCTGAACACAGGTTGGCCGTATGGTTATATTTTATTTTAAGAAATTTCTTTTTCCTCCTTCACCTCTTTGAAAAAAAAAACGGAAAAACAGAGCAAAAGAAAAATCTCTGTCAATGAAAATCTATCATTTTCTCTGTTTCTGAAGATTCACTTTTCCAAATTCAAAACCCTAATGTCTATACGATCTGATTTTATAGCAGTGCTTTTCGGAGTGCAACTTTTTTTTGTCATTTTCTGTTTGGTTGCAGAGAAAGAAAAAGGTAAGGTAACGAAATTTTGAAATTTTCTTGTTCCTGGTTTTCTATTTTTATTATTTTAGAATGGTTCATTTTGATTCATGATGCTATTGCTTTTTCATGAGTTTAATTGGATTTTAAATTTTATAGCTTTTATAGATGATGTGGGTTTTTTGTTTTGGGGGAGGCGAGTTTACTGATCAAAAGTTGAAATTTTATGTGTATTAAATTTTTTGGGGGTTTGCAAAAGCTAAGAAATTTAATTTATAGCTATAATTGGTGAAAATTGTTGCATGATTAGAGCTAAAATCCAATAGATTTGAATTTATTTTTGCATGTTTTAGTTGGCGTGACTGTTTATCTGATATTGGCGTGGTCTGTTTTTATTCTGTTTGACCTTTTTTTAAAGATCTTTACTAGTTTAGTTGGAACTTGAATTTATTTTTGGTGCATTTGTATTTTATCAGACATATCGAGACCCCATTATCTAAAATGTTTTGAAATTTTATCAGTTCCTAGGCAATTATTGGGATCTAATTAGATGTATGCTGATGAAATACATTAATGATATGTTTTGACTCTTTGGGGTATCGGTGAAGACATTTAGAATGAAAGAATCATGAGCTATTTGGAATGAAATTGATCATTTTTAATAGATTTGTCGTTAGTGGTGGAAAATTAACGAGTTAAATGAGATGTCGTTTTACTTTATGCTGTTGTTACTTGTCATTTTCTTTTCTGTCCCTAGATAGTGTGATGTGAGGTGAGAGACAAAGCAGAGAAACTTCTATTTTCTCCAGCTAGTTTTCCTCTAAGTTCGATGCAAGAGAAAAGAAGGGAAAACTCTCTTTCTGGTGATATTTTCTTCATCCTGTTCCAAGTCCCATGTGGCTTTACATATTTACATTGCTTTTATTTGTTATTGACAATTAGGAATTGTCCTTATATGATTCTTAATTTTGATTGGTTGAAATGCATGACTAAGAAGAGGGTATAAGCAACCAATATTGTTTTGATTTGATATGGACTCTATGGTTAATATGGGACTCTACTTTGGGTGTTTGGGGACATTCTATGTTTTTGTGTCTGCTTTGGGCCCAATTTTATAAATTAGGTTCCACCGGCAAGAAAGATCGCGAAGTTCTTGCACAAATGATTTAGTTTCCATAAGTGTATTTACTTCAATAATGATGCTAAACCATTAAATTTACATTTGTGATTAAGAAGAATTTACTCTATTTTTAAAAATCAAAATTGCTTTATTCCACCTGGTCTTTTTCCCTTGAAGTTTACTCAATGTGCTTTCTGGCTTTAAAGGTTCCCAAACTGATCCTCTCACATTCATGTTCTGGTTTAGAATCTTAAATACTTGCTTGCTAATTTGACCAGGAACGCAATTGGGTGTGTTGGTAGACTATGGAACAAGAAAATACCAAAAATGAAGCTGACAATGCTGCAGAAGACTTGGAAAAAAGCCCAATTTTATTTAAGGCTAAATCGATATTGCAAAGTCAATGGCCAAGAATTTCTTGAAGACAAGGAAAGCCACTGGCACTTCTGAGGTCCGGAGGAGAAAGCCAAAGAAGAAAAACAAGAGTGTATTAGAGGGCAATAAAGCTACTGAAGATAATGCTAACAAGCTAAATTCAAGGAAAGAAAACCAACAAGAGGATGCTACAACCAGTGCATAGTGCGTAGAGAAGAGCTAGCAGATACAAAAGAATGAAGAAAATACACATGCATCAGATGTCCAGGAAAATAGCTGTACGTTAAATGACAGTCCCAAGAAGAGAAGAATGGAAAAGGAGACCAGCTTTTTGAATAAAAACTAAAAGAATGAAGAAAAGCAGGATGGTAAGAAAAAGAGAAAATGGAATGAGCAGAAGGAAAACACAGTAGTTCAGAGAAGAATAACAAGGAATTATAGAAAAGTGCGATAAGGAGCGAAACAAGAAACTAAGAAGAAGGAAAGATAGCATGGTCTGATATTTATGTGCAATTCAAAGACCAAGCCAGCCAGATTGTTTCCAATATTGTGTTAATGGCTGTACCCACAGGTAAAAAGATATCTGTGTTGGGTATCAGACGAGGGCTTAAGCATTTTCTCCATGATTATGATCTCAAGCTTATGTATGGGATTTATAAGGCATCCTCTTCTGGTGGCATGAAACTTGAGCCAAAGGCTTTTGGTGGGGCTTTCCCCGCTCAGGTGCCATTTTCTTATAGCCTTCTCCCTTTAATTACAACTCTGTGTCTTCCTTCCTTTAAAGATTTTGTGTACCAATGACTTCCATTTCGGGTGCGGTTCAGTGTCCATGCTGATTGTTTTCTGCAGAGAGCATTTTCAAGAAGGCAATGTTCAAATTAAGATCTGCAACAGCTTTAGTAGACAGGAGTATATATCATATATGCTTGTGGGTCTTGCGTTTGAGTCTACTCTTTTTCTCTTGAATGGTTCTTCAGCCAACATCTTTAATCCTTTCTTTATAAAAAAAATAAGAAGAGGATTGATCCTTATACTTTTTTCTTTTTTCCTTCAATTAATTTTGTCAATTGGGTAGGGTTTAAACCTTAAACCAATGTCAATATTGGTTTTTATGGAGTTTTTGACTCCCTGATTTAATAAAACACTAGTTTAGCAGGATACTAAGCTCTATAAACATACCCAAAATAGGATTACAAGTTGAAGTGTTGTCATCTTAGGGTGTTTGGGTATACAACCAATTCAGATCGAGTTTGTCAAATCTGAAAGAAGAAAACAAAACGGAACTCTTGGATGCTTAATCCACTCCAATTTCAAGGAAGATCTCTTGATTAAGCATTTGTATGTTACCAAAAGAAATTGTCAGTGGATAAAATTTAGTATATCTAATATCCAAATAATTATTTGATTGTTTAAAATTGTAAAAATACTCATGCGAACTGAAAAAGCTTTTAAAAATATATTTATTTGAATAGTCCCGAAATATATTTATTTGGATAGTTCAACTGAATAAGATAAAATTTTGTTCTTAAAGTTTGTACTATTTATAAACTATCAGCTTTTGAAACTCTTTGATCAATAATATATTTCTAATGACCAAGATCGTTGCTACAGGTGTTCAATTTGTATGTATTTTCAATCAACAGAATGAAATCGGTAAGCCTTGCAGAAGTTCGACAAGGACCAGCTTCTTAACTTGACATGAGGGAAATATTAGGACACCTTCCATGGAGATTGGATTCTTGCCATTCTTCCACTCAATATCCTTGGGATTGATTGGCCTTAAACCCTCACCGTATGAGAAAACTGTGAGGGACATTTGCGCTACCTAATTTCTCCCTACCAGTATACCGCTAC